GGGGGGGGGGGGGGCTTCGTGCCGTAAAATTTGTGACCGGGGCCGAAATGTCTGTGGTCTAAACCGGCCGCCCGCGAGTCAAATCATCGTGACCTCGACACTTGACCAAACTTTAATTTATTTCATTTTGCTGAGACAGTTTATTTTACAGAAACCCCGCACTCATAGCTTATCTACACTGAAAGAAAAAAAAGTAACAGGCTATATAGATATACCGGGCTCGGAGGCCGAGCGATACGGGTGCTGGAGCCGTCGCTTCGATTGCTCCGGGTACTAAGCCCGGAACTTTCGGCCTCTCCAGAACGCGGACGGTATGACTATACAGCCCGTAAGTATTCCACTGCAGGATTTTTTTTTTTTTTTTTCAGTGTAAGCTGTGGAAATTACTTAAGGAAATTAACGTATAGACATGCTTAGTGATGACTTATGACCGAGTTGGGTAACTGATTTAGTGATCCTACCCTACATTATGAAACTCGCGTGGCTAAGTGCTCGCCTCGAGAATCGTCAGTCACAATGGCGTGGCGTGCTTTGCGATGTATCGATTGATCTGTCATTTAAACCTATGGAAAAGGATCGATTAACAGGGTGTTCGCAGCGAACAATTCTTTACCACGGATTCAAATGGGGAAATATCGATAATCGATCACTCACGCCACGCCACTGGTCAGTCACCATTACTTAGATTGTATTTGATTTTCTACTCAACAAGCTGCTTTTCAACCATAATAAGTTGAAAAATCAATGGCGTAACTATCAACCCTGCCGCCCCCACAGGGCAGGACGGGGAGGGCGCAGCGTTCCGAGGGGCGCAAACATCGAAAAGAAACTAAAAAGGCGCAGCGCCTAAAATAGGCGGGGGGGGGGGGGGGGGCAAAAATTCCTAGTTACGCCACTGTCAAAAATGACGTTGACCTTTGGTTTAGGTCTTTACGATGTTTTGATACTTACTAGGTAGCTGCAAATGATCGCAGATTCAAACAACGCCCGTGCAATGATGGAAATATATCTGTACTTGTTGAGCAACATCGCTGCGGGTGTACCGTCACACGAGAAAACCAATATTGTATTGCTAATTGTGCGAGATTCGGAGGGATAAAAAACGCCTTCAATTTGATCATGCGCAACATCTTGTGCAGTGAGATCGGAGATAGTTTCACGGGCGAGAGAGAGTGGCAGGATGTAGATTGTGGATGCAGACCGCCGACACCGCGCTGGACTGGCAGCGGATTACATATTTTTACATTGTTGCCACAGACCACATTTTTCCAAATATTTCCTTCGTTTTGTCGGAAACCCAAACAAAACGTTGCACAGATCAGTTGACACTTTAATTGAAATTGGAAAATTGAGCAACCAGTAAATTCGCGTTTATTTTTTTAAAAATAATCTTAGTAAATTCAACCGCCCTCCTCCCTGTAAAATCCCCAAATCCCCTGTCACCATCCTTTCCTCCTCGTTCCAAGACTCCAATTTTAACTATCAATCCTTTCCCTAACTTTCCCTGATTATTCTCGCCCGACACTCTCAGGCCGATTATTGAAACTGATAGACAAAGCTTTAGACAAGGAAGACAAAAGGGAGATGGAGGGATCCTATTGGTGGAAGCGAGCGGTTGCAATGGACAAAGGAGGTAGGTAATAGACTAACTACCGGCAACCCCCGAGAAACCATACAGTTAGTCTATCATTTTCTCCCTTGGTCTATAAGAGCCACTCGTTTCAACAAATAGGATTGCTCCATATTCCCTGTGTCTTCTTTGTCTATCCAGGGTGTCTACTAAAACAGACTGATCAAAACTAAGTACTTTTACAGTACATTTTCGGTACCTCATCAAGAAATTCAGTACCTCTTCCAACAGAAAAATTCCGTACTTTTTCAGTACCTTCATTTGACGAAATTCGAAAAATGTCAAAAATTTGAAATTGCGACAAAAGTGATAAAAAATTAAAAAAAATTCCGGACGTTTTTGCGGAATTTCTGCACTTTTTCAATACTTCCGGACTGCCCTTAAAAGATCAGTACTATTTCCGGACTTGTAGACACCCTGCTATCGCTTTGTCGATCGATTTCATTAATCAGCCCACTGATGATCGTATAAATTTAAAGTTGGCGTTTTTTTCCGCGTATCTTGGAGACGTCCAGCGTGAGTGTCGTTCTAGATCGGTGCTCGGAATTTTGATTTTTGGTTGGTTTCGAGAAAGGCGTCTCGTCTAGACCGAGAGCGGGGGCCGAGCCAAAATCCGAGCCGTTCTGCTTAGACGCGTTGCGTCGTCACCTGTCACCCCGCGACGAGCTAATAAATTGATCTGCGTAGACGTTCAATTATGAGGACATCACAGCCAAGCTAAGGAAAAACGTCGCATCAGCACCCCAGGATTGTCTAATTTCCTCTGATACCTAAGATATTTATTTCAGCGGGAAATCGTCGTTTTCGGAATGAAGGAGCGTATCTTCAGCCCAATTTTGTAAAATTGACTCGGTTACTTTTCTTACAAAAACGAACCTGTGCAATTTTTGTCGAAAATTTTCCTGGTTTTTACCAAAGATCAGAAGAAAAATCAATTAAATTTTCAGTTCGTTATGCTCACGAATCTCCTAGTGAAAATGAAATTGTTTTGAGGGGGGAGGGGAGGATTTGGCAACGTTGTAATGGAATTACGTTCTTCCGCGACGGGAACGACGAAATATGAATATTTGGACGATAGGAATATATGGGTCTTCAGAAAAGCTTTGCCCTTCATTTTTTGTAAACTGATACTGGTATCTTAGGCAAGGGCCAGAAACCTGATGATATCAAGGTTAAAATCAGTTAAAAGTCTATTTTTGTAAAATAATTTTAGTTCTTCTTTTCAAATCTTTCTCATTTTTCCCCCTTGCCTCGGATTAAAATCAGCTTGATTGCAGTGAACGTTGCTTCCCTCATACTTCAGTTTTAAGACAAAAGTTAAGCTACATTTTGTATAAAACATTTGTGAGCATAGTCTGAACACACGAATGGAAATGTAGACAAAATTAAAGAATATTACGCATTTTTCCGGTTGAAAAATAAATCATGAGCCATAAATGGTGGGAAAAATGTCGTTCGGTAGATTATGTTCGGAGCGTATGAAAAAAAAGAATAAATAAATACTTAAAAAAAGAAAAAAACAGCAAACGAACATTGCAACGTATTTTTCCTTGAAATTTTCAGGTGCCCTAGATTGAAATAGAGTGAAATTTTCTAAAAACTAACAAAAAAAGGCTCTCAGAAAACGTGTATTTTAACGAAGGAACAGTGGCAACGTCGGAATGTTCGTACGATGTTCCTACTTTAGCACGGTAGATGGCGACGCGGCGCCGCCAGCTGTCACAACGATTTTCCACCCAATTAAATGATCGAGCGTAGTATGCGGAGGTGTGATATAATATTCCCCTCGATTTTCATGATAAAAATCCCACTGTCAGTTGGTGCATTTAGACTATTCATACAAAAATTTCCTGATTTCTCCTCCACATACCCTTCAGGAGATGTTAAAAAAAAAAAAAAAAAAAAAAAAAAAAAAAAAAATCTGATTTGACGAATGGGCTGATCATTAAAATTTACGAACAAAGCGACAAATCGCTTTGTTGAAAGACCCTTTAGTTAGTCCATCATTTTCCCCCTCGGATTATGACAACTACCCGTTCCAACCAGTAGAATCGCTCCATATTCCCTAGGTCTTCGTTGTCTATAGCTTTGTCTATCAATTTCAATTCATTGACCGCAAACTGACTTGACTTTACCCTGACATTGCACTTGAAGGGAGAAAATGTAGAGAGATGGATCTAGAAAAAGATTTCACTCCCTTTTGTAATCAGATTTTTTCCTTGAAAACCTACGTCCATGTGTGACAACGTGATTTATTCCGTACTTCAATAATTAGTATTAATAATTAATATTCCGTAATTTTGATTTTCAATTAAATTAATTTAATTTAATTTTCAGATCAAGGTTCACAGCAAGCTGAGTAGCCTACACCAAATGGTGCCGAAATCTCAACTACCCTCTGATTACGGAGGAGAATGCGCATCACTGAAAGAGCTGAACGGTAAGAATATCACTGAGAAAAATTATGGTAGATTTTACCATACTCAGACACAGTGATCTAAGTATAGTAATTAACACCAGAAGATTGTATGGTAGCATTTACAATATAGTGTCAAGAACTACCTGAATTCTGGTGAATACTACTATAATTCTGGTCATTTTCACTAAATAGTATCACTGTGTAAAAAATCAAGTAGACTTATAACAGCCGTTACCATACCTTTTTTTCAACGATGTACGTCGCAGCAAGTGGCATGACGTGGCGTGGTTGTGATGTCTCAAAATTTCGAAATTTCCGCTAAAGTTCCATCCATTGTGACGGAAGCCAGCTGTATGGAATTTTCTGAAACTTTTACTGAATTTTTCTATGATTTCGCAATGCTAAAAACAGAAATTCTTGGAAAATTCACTCAATAGTTTCCTCTCTGAAATATAAAATAGCGGTGGAGATTCTAGAACACCGCAACCAAGAAATGCCCTTTCTGCATCCAAGAAATGTCCTTTCCGCGACCAGCGCCTCATTATTTCCTTCGACATCCATTCATTCACTTTTACTTTCCCTTACTAATTTTTTAAGTTGTAAGTGTTTGGATGGATCTATGTTCCCATTGCGAAAACGGACTTGTCCGGAACTCCCGCAGCCTCAAGAATTGCGACCTCCGACGTTCTGTATTACGTTGCACCGAGACGTAATGCCATTTATTAATTAACTTTGCCGCGACGCTTATTGAAAATGAAGCACCGTCAGCCGACGTCCAGTCTATCGTAACTTTTAATTGCCGCGATTTTTCCTGCGTCAATGTCGGCCCCGTTGTCTAGTGGCATTAAGCCCGCCAATTCAGAGGCCGCGTTGTCGATTCCAGCAAAAATATTTGAGATGTCTTAGGAATCATGCTCATTGAACACTGGAAAAAAAGCACATTGGATCTAGAATCCAGACTCTGGAAAACATTGACAAGAAAAAGGACTCTTGATTCAATCAGATTTTAGCTTAAATCAAAAGGAAATCCGCTCAAATTAAGAGGCTTGGTTCTTGATTTAAGCTTAAATCTGATTGAGTCAAGAGTATTTTTTCTTGTCGATGTTTTTAAGAGTCTGGACTCTAGATCCAATGTGTTTTTTTTTCCAGTGAAGCGTAAATTAGGCCGAGTACTTACACATACTAGATATCAAGCAACAACTGTGCAGGTAGCGGAGTATTAAAGTAAAGATTGTCATTTGTTTAAATCCGTGAGTTTTAAAGAGGAAGAGACTATCAATTGGACTGCATTTTGCAATTTGGAACTATATTTTCCGGCTCATCTGAAAAAACACTTATGTAGTGCATAGGGAAACTAATGGCACATACTTTGTTTTTAAACCGGGCCAGAATTTACAGTTCCAAATTGCAAAATGCAGTCCAATTGACTGAGGAATAGTTGATAGATGAAAAATAGTTTAAAAAATGAGGATCTTATTCACAGGTTTGCCACCAAATCTAGAAAATGAAACCCCCGACATTTCCCTGATTTCCCTGATATATTTCGGTGGAATTCCCTGACGATTGAAGATATGCCAGATGGTCAAAATAGTTTTTGCAAGACTTGCTGTTCGAGACGCCAAACCCATCCTAGAAAACACTGGGGGGAGAAAAAAAAAAAATTGGATCTAGAGTCCAGACTCTTAAAAACATCAACAAGGAAAAATACTCTTGATTCAATCGGATTTTTACTTAAATCAAGAACCAAGCCTCTTAATTTGAGCGGATTTCCTTTTGATTTAAGCAAAAATCTGATTGAATCAAGAGTCCTTTTTCTTGTCAATGTTTTCCAGAGTCTGGACTCTAGATCCAATGTGTTTTTTTTTTTCCAGTGAACAAATAAAGGTGCTTATCCATTTATCCCTGACATTTCCGTCATTTCCCCTGACATATCCAGGTTTTCCCTGACTTTTTGAAATTCCCCAACATTTCCCGGTTTTCCCCGACTGTGGCAACCCTGGGCTCTTATTTGGACTACATTTTGCAATTTGGAACTATAAATTCTAGCCCGGTTTAAAAATAATGTATGTGCCCTTAGTTTCCCTATGTACAAAAGTGTTTTCCCAGAAGAGCCATAATTTATAGTTCCAAATTGCAAAATGCAGTCCATTTAGAGATGCCTCTCTGGTCTTCCCAAAAGTTCCTACTTTCCCTGGATATTTTTCAGCTCCCATTGAATCCCGACAATTTTTTCAGGTTTCCAACACCGTGGATTTGTTAAAGTCGGTAACGTTATTCAGCTCCCGACTCGAATTCGTAATTTTATTTTTACCGATGACATTTACGAATGCTTCGCCGGATTACGCTGCGGCGACAGCGAGCTAATCGCTAGAACCCGTCGCTTCTCGAACAAAACATCTTAACTCCATTTTGAAAAGCGCCCTCGCGTCCCTTCAACTCCACGCTTATCACGGCTTACGTGGAAATCGAGATACGCCCTTGCGTCGGAGGAAAGACAGGGAAAACGGGCGGACTGTCGCCAACCAGCCGACAGGTTATGACAGTGATAAACTTAAAAGTGATAAATCGGGGGGAACCCCGAGGGGGGCGGCAAGGGGACAGGGGGTAGGGGGGCACGTATAAAAAAGGTAATTATCCCCAGCCAGCGATTGTCGCGTTGACTTATACCTGCGTTTCGTCTTTGCTGAACAATTTCTCAAGTGTAGAATGCCACGAGCTGTCGGTCATCACAAGCACGGTACCTTTATGGAGGGAAATAAGGGGTAGGTGCTCCACGGTCTGAGATCCCCCTTGAAAATTCACGTGGAATTTTAAAAGGTTTCAGTTTTTCATCAATTATATATTTTAAAATGGACGGGACTTAGTTTTTCCAGCTTGAAGGAATTGCCACTGCTGGAAAATCAGTTTGTGCATTTCGACTTTTATTACACTCAATAAAGTAGTTGAGAAGAGCGCATAATAACAAGTCCGTTTAACACTGGATTCCGACCTCAGTCTCGAGTTATGTTAAATAATCGATTTGATAGATTCGAGACCGAATCGCGATTAGTCGAGGGCATTTGTGTGGGAATTTTTTCGACCGCGAGATATCCGCTTGCGCCTTCTTATCGGCGACTGATAAATTTTTCGCTGCCAAGTTTCCCACAGTGAAATTGGCACAGCTGAAGCCATGAATGCGATAAGTGGACATTCCCAGAGGCGAAGACCGTTCCACTCGAGTCAAACCTTCAAAAACTGAGCTTTCAAAGGAATATAAATGTAACAAAACGTTTCTAGAATAGAATCTTATCGACGGTGAGACTACAAAACCACGTACCTCAGTTTGCAGACTTTCTGCTGTACTTTTTTTTTTTAACCAGAAAATTACTCAATTTCAACTTTTGAAAACTTCCATGATTTTCCGTGCGAGGAAAACTCTGTGAAAACTTCAAGGAATGATATCGATTCGCCCTCCTTCAAAAAAATTAAATGGGAGCAGAGAATATTAAACAACGCAAACGACATACGTGGTTTGGTAGTTTCGCCGTTGCAGTGGATCGAGTCAATAGGAGAGGTCGGACAAAAATTGGAGCTTTTAAACGCTTATAACTCCGTTTATACAACACTTTGAAGTTTTAAAAGGGGTTCCATTGGTTTTCTCGTAAAATTTCCTTCGAGGCGCACCCCTTAAAGTTTAAAATGTGGCGAAATAAACATAAAAATTTGCAGTTTTAGTAAAAAACAAATTCATGTCCGACCTCTCTAATTGACTCGATCCACTGTGAGTCGCTATGTAATTTTTACACTAATGATGCATGCTAATGAGTTGAATGAAATTCTGTTCGCAGACGACTGGATCAAAAAGATGACCGCTCACAGGGAATGGCTAGCCATCAGCGGGACGCAGCACAAACCGAAAGAGCTGGAGAAATCGGCCGCCGCAAAGAACACCAGCCGACACGAACCTACCGAAAACTTAGGAACCTCTTTCAAAGATTTCATCATCGACTGATTTTTTTAAGAAAAGGCGAAGAGAGGGATCATCGATTTTCAAAAGAGATTGCACACCCAAGACATGAGTAAAGAGTCTGGAAATTGGAATTGGAGGACAGGAGTCGGGTTTGAATGTCATGTGACCAGTGGCGTGGCGTACTTTCCGATATATCGATGAATCTGTCAATTCAACCTATGAAAAAGGATCGATAAACAGGGTGTTTGCGACATTATCGATTCTTTGCCGTAGCTTCAAATGGGGAAAATCGATTCAAAATCGCATGGTCATTCACGCCTCGCTACTGCATGAGACGCGAAATGTTTCCATTCAGAAAAATCAATCCAATTAAAAATAGAGGACCACCGGGCATGGATGCAGGGTTGCAGAAACTTTTCCACTCTGCGATTGGCAGGTCACAAAAATAAGATGGCTGAAACGAGGTTTAAAACGGGAAGGCTTCAAGAAGGGTTTTATTGCTTGTAAAGTGGGAGGTCTTGTTTGCATCAGCGTGCAAATTCTACGTTATCACTGATGCCTCTGATATTTGTGATTAGAAAGAGAGAAAAAAGGGGAAAAGTTGAGAAAATAGGAGGTTCTCGAAATAAAGAGTCAACTTTCTGCACCCCTGGATTGATGAATTTACTGATGCGCCAATGTATTTAAAATAAGGTATTAATTTGTTTGACATTCTGCATCGGAAAGTTCCGAATAAGCATCTGTGTGCGAGATACTGTTTAAGATATGAACTAATCATGATCATTAAAATCGAGTAGATTAAAAAAAAGTGGAACTGATTTTGTTTTAGCTTCTCTTGTAAGTAGGTTATGGAAGGGGACTGAAGTAATTTGTGAATTAATGCTTTTGAAATTTTGACTAAGTTAAAAACTGATAAAATAAAGAAGGCGATTGAAAATTGAGTCACCATTTTGTGTATCATTTTGACCTCCAAGAAAGAAACTCGAATAGACATCGTAATATCGGTAAATCTATGCATAGGTGAGGTGCGATTACTGAAAAGAAATGTAAGTAGCATATCCATTCCCTTATAAAAAAATAGATTATATTCGTGGCGGTAAGATATTTTTAGCGACCCTTCATTCGATAAACTGCCGCCGGCCATCACTCATCTCTATCTTCTCATTTCTCTTGATTACCCATGATTATACTACTCCTTAGTGTGAGCCATTTTAACTGCTGCCGCTATTCTAAAATATTTTCTGGAGTTTTTCTTAGGTTTCAATGGACTAAGAGTAGTGACAAACTGAATATCGATGGCGAAATTGAATAGACGCGGATCTTTGCTTTCGGAATTGCATACTTCTCGTCATACTGTACTATCCATTATCTGAAAACTTCAACGGTGAGTTTTCTTCTTTACGCGAAACATGATCTGAAAACTGATCATGAAAATTTCGAGCTATGATCTTAAGGTAGTTCGGTTTTCCTTTTAAAATATAAAGTGGGGTTGGGCATTTTGAAACACCGCAATCGAGATACACATTTTTGGACGTCTTTCTGTCAAACGGAACTATGTGCATTAAGACATGAGCCCTGAGATCCATGAGAGTATATGTACAACAGGGCTCACGGCATAATGCACATAGTTCCGTTTGGCAGAAATACGTCCATTTTTGCAGTTTCACCGTCGATATGCTGCTGAATGGAGAGGCACCTCTCATATTTAGGATCATATGAGGATGTGTACCGAAGGTGTTAAAGTTGTATCATAGAGACTTACCCTTCTGAACGCGGATGGACCACAAGGAAATGCAAATGCTGGAAATTTCACAAACAACTCACCTGAAACAGAGGAATCAGCCAAAAGTCAAAATGACGAAGGACTGTATGATAATAGTAAATCGACAAGAGGGTCAGAAAGAGGGAAATCACAATCATGTATACTATAAGCCCCCTGAGCCCCTTTTTCACTCTTTGTCACACCTCGTTCTACCGTTTGCTTGATACATTCACAATTTAATCCACTCCATCAATGAATTTCGAATGAAAACATGCACACTTTATGTCGAAAATAAACATTTTATCAGAGGAAATTTGACAACGATTGGGTGCTCGTATGACATTACTCCTTATAGCACGACAGTGTTCTGCCGTGCTGAGGAAAAACGCCGTATGAGTTTTTAGGCGTTGCCAAATTTCCCCCGGCGTATCACTAATTTTCAGGAAAATTTTTGAATCTTTGTCTACCAATTTTGCAGGTAATTTTGTTTGTAATTTGATCTGAAACGTCTGAAAATTTCAAGGAAAAATATTCATGATTTTCCCCAAAAATAAATATTTTATCGAATGAAATTTCTCAACTCTCGAATGTTTATGAGGCGTTCTTCCTTGCCACGGCAGTATTGTTCAAGACTTGGCGACAAGTGCATTAAACTTTTACAGCGATCCGGTGCGTGAAATGTGCGATTGAAACACAGCTCTATACCGACAGGACGGAGGATTTGCGCGTAATAATGAACAATAAAACACGGGGTCATTATTTTCCTAAAGACATTGAGATATATCGCACCGTGCGGTAGGCGAACGAGCTCATGAGGAATCTTGGAAATGAAGCCGAACGATATATGGATTACATTTTGCAATAAGGAACCACTATCTCTGGCTATTCTATAAAAGCACCTCTCTACATACGAAAACCAATGGCATAAATGTTGTTCCTAAAATGAGCCAGAGATAATGGTTCCTTATTGCAAAATGTGGTTGGATGTAAACTGGGGTTTAAACAGTTTCAGAAGTAAGTTTCGTATTTCTTGATCTTCCCGAATTTTTCCCTGCATATAGATACAAATAGCCCATACGATAAACATGGGCAAGGACTTGAAATTTCGAATAAAACATTCAAGTTAATTTATAATAATTGCGCCATAAAATGTGTTCAAAATATCCGATTATGTCTTTTTTTTTTTTTTTTTTTTTTTTTTTTTTTTTTTTTTTTTTTTTTTTTAACCCCAACGAAAGCCACTCGTTCTCTGAACATTGCGCTATAAAAGAATGCAGTAGCTAGAATAAAACAATGCAGTGGCTGCAATAAAACAATTCAGTAGTTTCAGGTGAAACAGGAACATTGTTACCTGAGAGTTGTTAAAGGCCAGGGCACCTCTGTTGTGACTTAGTTGCTTGAAGCGCCGTGACACGCTGCGCACATGACGAGGCGGGCGGCCTATCTGTGCGGAACGCGCATTGGTGCCTACAAACCTAAGGGGATACTTCAAGCATAGCGCAATGCTTGAAGTATCCCCTTAGCTTTGTAGGCGCTGGCCGGCTGCCCACCGCGCCGCGACGTGCCACGGCGCACTATGGTCCGAATAGCCGGTTTAAGCGGCAATAAATCGAAAAAGTGAAGTTTGGAAAAAGTTAGATTTTAAGAGGTAGATCGATAGTACATACTGTAGAGAAGACTCCTGTAAAATTTCACTTCGATTAAAGCACTAATAAAGATGTGACAAGCCTGGGAAGTGCGGCGCGCGGAGCACTTTTGAGTACGCTTCCAGTTACCGAGCGGCAGTGCTGTGTTTAAGGGCTTGTTTTCGTCGTTTCACCGTAACTGAAAGTGTTTGGGTACTTGATTTACAAAATATAAGGTAATTTCTAGATGTTCCATGCTGAAACAATTCTTTTTTATCATGTCTAATGCTCTAGATTAACCCTTAGACATAGTCAGTTGTTTCAATAAAATCGCAAAAGTATGACCCAAAAAATATACTTAGCACCTCTGAGCACCTCGTAATTTTACTCGGAAGTTATTGTCATGACTCTAGACTACCTTTTAGTCTGAGTGGCAGAACCATAGTCCACCATAGCCTCAAGTTATTTCTCATGAAAAATGACGTTTTCGCGTTTCTTAGCATTCACTACAATTAGCTATCATATGCCATTGACCATGCATTTTATCATGTTCCACTCTCATATTCTATCAAAACAGATGCCTTAGAGCCTAAATTTACCCAGGCAGAATAATACGAGTTGATGGGGTTGATCGGGACCAATTGAAACTTTGTGCTCAAGAACAGCAAAGAATCGCCTCGGGAGGCTACTTTGAGGCCCCGTAAAAGTTTTTTTTTTGACGTTTTAAGTGTTTCAAACATATAATCTATCAGTGTAGATATATGTTAGCATAAGCTTAGCTTGGCAGACGAAAACAAGTCTAAACGGTTGATCGGCGGGACTTGAAAGTAAGGCTCCCGAGCAATGAAATTGTCTTAGGAAGCCACTTTGAGGTCCCGTAAACGTTTTTTTTTACGTTTACCCATGTTTCAAACAAATGATCTATCAAAATGGATATATTTAAGCTTAAGTTTCGCTTGGCAGACGAAAACAAGTTCAAACGGCTGATCGGTGGGACTTGAAAGTAGGCCTCTGGAGCCATGAAACGTAGAAGTATTATCCTGAGCTGTCTTTTTCAAGTTCCCTTGATAGTAGTGTTTGACGAGGCTCTACTTTTAGCTTCTTATAGTCCATCCAATGTAAAATTAATTTTTAAACTTATAAAAAAAAAAAAAAAAATTCTACCGGGAATCGAACCCGGGACACTAAGAAGACAGGTGAGACGCGATGCCAACTGCTCCACCACGTCTACTTGGATTGTTGACCTCAATTTAAGGTTTCTGAACAAATAATTACAACAGTTATATAAAGTATAAAAATGTTAAAAATGGATTTTTCCTGAAGAATATTAGCATTTTTGCACTCAGCGACCCTAAAAACCCCTGAAAACTCATGTTGCGAGGTTTAAACATACGTATCTGATTTAATGCCGCTTAAACCGGCTATTCGGACCATAGTGCGGCGCCTCAAGCACCTATTTCATAACAGAGGTGTTGCCTGTTGCACAGTATCATACGAAATTGAAGGCGCTCCAACATATTAAGAATGACAATCATCCTCTAAGAGTACGGAGCTTCCCCCGCAAAATAAATCAAGGTACCGCGGCACAAAAAGAGAGCGGTACTCCAAAAAGTCACTGAGTCCGGGACAGTTCCGGGATTCTTTATAAATTTGTTCGAGAGTTCCGGGAAAGTTTCGGGAAAAGCGAAAGATCCGGAACATTTCAGAAATAGAGAATTTGCAGGTTTCTTAAATTTTGTGAATTTCATCTTTAAAATGATACTGCTAGGAAAACTGAGTACGAAGATATCCTTAGTTTCTAAATTGGGCAATTATTGGAGAACATACGACAAAATAACGTAATCTGCTATAATACATGTGTTTAAAAAATCTAGTAAAATTTACTGGGCGTTTTGCTGCGAAGGTCATTATTAGAAAGAAGAAGACGTCACTCGTCTTTCAAGCATCCAACGAAACCTAAATACTGGATACAAGTGTTTCAACTCCTTAATTCGCTCGAAGTGCATCCTTACGGCAGGGAAGAGGGGTCAGAAAATCCGATTTTAAGCGTTATGTATTTTAGGAGCGGTCCCTTAATGATCGTAACTAAGCAACATCATAACGCTACCGTGCTGATGAAAAACGCAGGATGAACATTCGGGAATTGCCGAATTTCCTTCGACAAAATGCTTATTTCAGAGGATGTTACGAATATTTTTCCGGGAGATTTTCAAGAACTCAAGGTAAAATTGCGAACAAAATTATCTAAAAAATTGGGAGGAAGACATTTACAAATTTACCAAAAAATGTGTGATTTACCAACGGAAATTTGGCAACGCCTGAAGGTCCATACGGCGTTTTCCCTTAGCACAGCAGTGTAGGGTTTAGACGCAAGACGCAGAACGGGAGATGCGCATTTTTCGACTTCAGCCGTCGATATTCAACGGTGGATATTCAAAAGAATCGATTATTAAGGCATTCGTTGCGAACACCCTCTTTATCGATCCTTTCCTATAGGTTTAAATGGTAGGGCAATCGATATATCGCAAAGCACGCCACGCCACTGATATTCAAGGCCTTGG